AAAATAAAAACTAGAATACAATCAAAGCTTAAGTCTAACGTAATTTGGTTAACAAAGCTGAATTTCATCAAAAAGAGACACCAAAGAAATATAGAGCAGTAAGAGAAAATATGAGTATTTTTAACCGACTTCAAGAAGAAGGAGGTGTTAAGTTCGATTGAATGTTTTTATGTGTGTTGCCTCGTAGCTTTCCTCTGGGTGAGCCGATTTTGATGAGTCTTTTTTTTATTTGAAAGCTGGTGTTGGATCTGACCAGTGGTAATTGAGTTGTCCTTAATAATGTGTATTTGATTAACTTTGAATAAATTAATAATCTTCTCATTTTATTAATATTGAAGTCGGTTGTGCAAAGATTTTAATGTTGCCACTTGTATCAGTTACCTCACAATATCACTTGTATGTCTCTAAAGCTGTATGAAATTTACTCAATTAGTTGTTAATTTTGTAAACTGCTTAATATCACTGCAAAGCTGCTTAATATCAACGCTAAGGGCTTGCTTGCATTTTAATTATTTTTTTCTAATTCGTAGTAGATATAAATTTCCACAATGACATTTTGAGGTTAATAGATTATTTAAAAGATATATAAATAACCAGTGGGAGTTCATATAGGTTGGGATACCATTATAATATATTATTTTTCCCCCGGAAGTGTTAATTATAACTCTTGTGATCGGTAAATAACTAAAATAAAGCCGTCAATTTTAAAAAAACTTAACATGCTACATAGTATACAAACACAGGAGGCGTCGAAGAATATAAGAGGCGGCGTCAACTTAATATAATTTTTATCGAAAGAAACTTACAGGTAAGTTACTTTGATCAAATAATTATAACCACGCTTGACAGCTGAATCGTCAACAATACCAGACGGTGCACCATTTGACGCCGCTCCCATTCAACAATGTTAGAACCTTACTTCTGGTGTAAATGGGATGGGTATACCGCCGTCCTTCCTAAAAATCGTCACTTACGATATCTTCAGAACAAAATGATATGATGTATTAATTTACACCGCCACGGTTAAGTTCAATTTTGAACATCATAACAACATTGTCAACGTGGTAGAGCCATGCTGCGACTATATTATGCTCGTAGCATGAATGAGTCTTCGCGACTGAGAAAGAAGTAAACTTTCACAGATTATCAGGGTGAAATAGCTGCTTAATGCTCCTGTATTTCGTATGGCACGTGTAGAAAACTGGACACTATTTTTACTGGAAAGAGGGCATTGCATCTCATTCGGTAGGTGTTTCATCCCTACGGACTAAGATGAAATAAATGCATTAAGATGCAATGCAACGCATCTGCTTAATCTAGGATAGATGTCGATGTCTATGGGCCATTTACCATCAGATGGACTGTGTGTTCGTTTATCACCTTTATTCTATAAAAAATATGGGCCACTCCGTTGCAAAGATTATTTACTATCATCGCCTCGCTTGGCCTTTACATCTTTATTAATTTAGGTTAATAGTACACAACGTATCTGTAGCTTTCTTTGTTTGAAGATGGTTGCAGGTGTCTATGGACTGAGTATTCACTTACCATTGGGTGGACTGTAAGATCGTTTGATACTTTAATTATATACAAAAATAGCATAATGACATCAAATATTATCGTCGTTTACTTTAATACTTAAACTATTAAAACGAAGCATGCTGCCAAATGAAAGTCCGTAGTTTCTGCCTACCCCTCTGGGTGACTGGTATAAGTGTTTTAACATGTATTGTAACAAACTGTTTAAATTGTTTTAGTGTTAAATATCATACAGCAACAACTTGTATCAATTCTACTTATTTTGGTCTTCATATATCCAATATCCAATATCCTTTCCTTGAATCTTTCATGTTTGGACTACATAAATTTATGAATTTCTCAATCCTTTGATGTTTGTAGGAAGAAGTATTTTTATTTTATTGCTTACATCTTCTTAAAAAGCTTTAAAGATTTCATTGGGTGTTTTTGGAATAGAGTTTATTTATTTATAACACACATAAATGGCTTTCTATTCGTCAGAGGCGTTGATCCAGAATCTTACTAACCTCTGTATTCTCTATTTCTCTATATTTTCTCTATATTAAATAATCCGACGTCTCCTTATCTTAAAGATAACTTCCACTTTCGGTATTCAACTCTTGACCGTGAACCTCGATTCTCTAACGTCCTTAAGGTTCACATACATACGTCAGCATAGGCACAGAATAAATAATAGTTGGCATAGGTAGAGGAGTACACTTTTAAAAAATGATCCGGCAACACTATCTTGAGGAAAATTCCATTTGACCTTCTATTTTTATATATATATATATATATATATATATATATATATATATATATATACTTTTCTACGTGTATATTAGTACGTAACTTAGATGCTTTTCTAATTATCCAAGGGTTGACTGGCTGAGAATGCCATTAGGCATTAAGTCCGCCCATTGTAACCCTTAGATTAAGGTGTATCACAAAGATATAATTAAGATTAAATTATTAAATATAAAGATTAAATTGATAAATAATATAAATTTTACATGTGTATGTATAGGCTTCGATTAGTTAAAACATTCGATTAACAGTGTGATTGTATTATTCTACTCGGTATCGTGGTCGGCTTCGTCTTGACGTTTCGTTGTACGACACGAATGAAAAGTTTAAAGACCATGGAACTTACATTTGGAACGATTATTTGTTATAATGGGTTAAAAATTAAAATCGTTCATTTTGGTTACATGTTAGAACTACAATACGGTGGTAACTTTTTATACGTGGTAGAGCCATGCTGCGATTATATTAGTAGGATAGTTGTAGCACGAATGGGGCGGCTTAACCGGGGAAGGACCACGCTCTCACAGAATACCAGCGTAAAATGGTAGCTTAATGCTGCTGTGTATCGTTTGGTGATTGTAGAGAACCGCACACCCATTTTACTGGAAGCGAGGCATTCCATCTTAGTCCTCACGAGTGACAACGCATCTGCATTTTGATTCGTAATCGAGGATAGATGTATATGTCTATACACTACAGTAACCACTTACCATCAGGTGGACTGTGTGCTCGTTTATCAACCTATCTTATAGAAAAAAGCACGAATAGATCGGCCAGGGAAGCCAGCGTAAAATAGTAGCTTATAGCTGCTGTATTTCGATGGTGAGTGTAGAGAACTGGAAACCCTTTTTATTGGCAACGTGGCATTCCATCTTACTCTTCAGGGAGTGACAATGGGGTGGTTTCTTTTTCTTCCTTTTTTTTTTTTTATCTTAAAAAAGGGGTTGTGTTCTGGCCTTTGGGGTTGCGTTTTTCTGCGATCTTCTGCATTTTGATTCTTAATCGAGGATAGACGTCGATGTACATGGGCCTCAGTATCCACTTACCATAAGCTGGACTGTGTACTCGTTTCTCACACGTATTCTACAAACAAAAGTAAATTTCACATTAACATTTCATCGCAGTCGCTTGTAATTCGAACAGCATTTTTGTAACTGCGATTGTTTTTTTTTTTTGGGAATCGTTAGTCAATGTTTTGGAATGTAGTTTATTTAGAATGAATATGTTGTCTTTAATTAAAGTTTTAATTTAAGTAAAAGTAAATAAATAAGTAAATTTATATTTTGACCATAATTTTAATGGTAACATATTATAAGTACTTATATTTTACGTGTGTATTTACATTGTGTGGCTTTGATTAAGCTTATTTTAGAACAATATCGATCAGTTTATGTAATAACGTCCTCCAGACTGTGTTTTGGTCACGGCGGACAGTCTTAGTGAAGACTATCTATCTGCGCAGGACAGGATTATAGTGCCCAAGTGTATGCACAAGCATAGATACACTTATTATATTCTCTCACTCTTATGGTCGTACTACGTAACTACTCACGAAAGGACGGTAGTTCAAAGCGACCGAGGACCTACGACTTTACGTGCTTTCCGAAGCACGAGAGAGAAACACCGTCAACTTCCTGACTCCGGGCTGCTATTGAGATTGTCTTCACAGAAAAACTCAATAAATGATTTTGGCTTGACCCGGGATTTAAACCCGGGATCTCATGATCAGAAACTGAGTTTACGATCACTAGACCAACGAGAGTATAAGCGATTATGTTATGAAACGTAGTAGTCTTCGTTTTGACGTTTGTCGCTTAGTTTGTTTGTATTGTATAAATATATCAATTTATCGAATATCTAAAATAAGATATTATTAAATATCTATCATTTTAATAATATCTTGTTTTAGAATAAAAAATTATCTTAAAAAGACATTATAACGCAGTTGCGAAGCGATCACACCAGCAAACGATTCCCATCAGAGTTACACAATCGCAGCGCTGGTCGAATAGCAAACGTATGCGATTAAATATTGAAGTAAAATTCAGAAATGTCACAACAAATGTTTTACGACATTTAGAAAAAGATAAAATACTTGATTGAAGTACAATTTAAGTTTATTATCCTTTTTATGACCTTTCTCTGTAGTACCGGAGTGACAAACGAGATACCATTTCACTTGATTGAAAGCGCATCCTACAGACATCTGTAATCTTCTTTAAACAAAAAGATGAAACAACATTGAGGTTTTTATCAGTCTCATCTATTAGTTAGTACTAGCAATTTTAAGCGTGTTTATTATGTATGTGTAAAGAAATAAAAGAAAGAAAGAAAGAAAAAGTTTATTTGGTATATACATGATAACAAAAAGAATAAAAATAAAACATTTTTTTATATCTTATCAAAAACATTTAAAAAATGGTCTCCACCAGCTTTAAGTCACGAATTGAAGATAAAATTACATCAGTTCGTAACGCTGATTTTCGGTGTAGCCAGGAGTGTGAAGCAGTGTACGTGCGGTAAGTCGTGATAATGCCTTCATGGCAGCACGAACTGAAGCAGCGCGGCGGACTTTACTGTACCCTACCCTCATTTTTAGGAACAAAGCGCATATAGGCTCACTCGTGGAGATTGTTACAAAGCTTAATAATATAATAAATTAAAACTTGTTGCAGGTGTACCGGGGTAAACCACTGTAATTTTCTACTTGAAGAAGACTACCCGCCGGCAGCAGATTGGCCGTCTGGAGTTATTTCAATAAAATACGCTTGTTTTGATGGTAAGTCAAATTGTGACTTAATTTCAATAGATTTTTTTATTCTTTCAACACTAAGAATTTGTCGCGTATTGTAGTTATTTAATGTATTTAAATTGTTGTTGACTGCCTCGTTGGTCTAGTGGTTGTAGTAGTGCGACTGCTGATCATGAGGTCCTGGGTTCGAATCCCGGGTGGGGCCAAAAATTAATTATTGAGTTTTTCCGTCAAGAAATTCTCAGTAGTTGCCCGGAGTCAGTACGTTGGCGGTGTCTCACCCCGTGCCTCGGAAAGCACGTAAAGCCGTGGATCCTGCGCCTGATCTCTCTCCGTTCGTGTCGGTTTACTGTCCCATCGGATTATGAGAGTGAAGGAATAAAGAGTGCACCTGTGCTTATGCATATACTTGGGCACTATAATTCTGTCCTGCGCCGATGGCTAGTCTGCGTTGAGGCAGGCCGCCGTGGCCGAAATTCGATCTGGAGGATATTATTATTATTTAAATTGTACATGGACAAGCATCCGTACATGGTACAATTATTTTCAGTCCACATAACCTCTTGTTTCGTGCGACATACCAACACACGGCTCGCAGCGCCGCAGCTGACACTTACCCAATGCGCTACCAAGGTGTCCCTTTCAGAGGAAGTTGATATATTCAACCCTACAATACTAGCTTGTGGTAGCGACGTAATAGGAAAAAAAGACGTGTGGCACTCGGGGACTGCCGCGGTAAAGCTATTGCATAGCATTTTGTATCAACTTATGCAATTATAATTATTTATTTATTTTATTTATGCAGTATTTCTTTTTCTTTGATATTAATTCAAGTTACACTTTTTGAGCGTGGTGACCGATAAGAAAACAAATTTTTTTCTTTTATTAAATAAATAAATAATAAATGCACTTTGTTCATTCATATTCAAAACACTTTTATCGGTTGTAGCCCTGAAAGAGGCAGTAACGCTGTTGTTTCGGCAACTTTGGCATTTCAGGCCACTGAAGGAATCCGTAAAGAAAGATGAACCTACCTTCTACAATGGTTTCGATATAGAAAAAATATGTCAATTGTGTTCGGGCGTAATTAAAAAAGTACAACAATGTGATAAATATTCTAAGTGATTGAATTCATTTAAACAGATTTCGGAACATTCATGACGAAAGATAACGTTATAATAATTTCAGATTTGTCAAATGTGTAAGACGGTGAACTGCAATTATATCCCTGCAAGTCCGTCTGACAAGCAAAGCAATTTAAAAAAAATCGATTATAAAGATTAGGTCCGTTTTCAACTGAAAACCAATTAATTATTGAGGCTGAAGAACAATAATATATTTCTCATACTACATAAACGTATTTTTCCTTGTTAGCATCCGAAAAATCTAAAGATTGTTTTAATCCAATATATATAATATTTTGTATACGAAAATATGTATATCTCATATTCACTGAATATTAAACTCATCCCAATGTGTTTAGTTATAAGTTATGCAAACATCATGCTTCCTCCTTCAATAAATAACTCTGACGTGGATACATGATTTTGTTTTCCTTTTAAAATAAATGCAGAATGTTCACATAAATGGACGTAAAAAAATTAAGTTAATGTAGCACTAATTAGTTTGGATTCGCGACGGCATTTTCAATTGGGGTAAAAAATTGATGGTTTTATTGTAACATATTATCATCTCAATAAAGCTGGCATAAACAGATGAAATGAAAGTAAGGCAATATTTGTTGGAAAATAAATGAACGGGAAAAAATAAAACCGAACGACCGAGAGATATAATGCTAACATGCGCCGTCTAACGCATAAAGACCCTGTTTTAATTATAAACATAGGTACGCGACATGTGCCATAAATGGAGTAACTCTTATAACGAAAAAAATTGTTTGTCACATAATGAAATAAAATTAAATATATCTTGTAATCTTCTAAATTAAGAATGTTTGCTGATTTCTATTTAACTAATGTTGAGCCACGTGGTGGCGGTGTAATAGAACCATGAGCCATCACCCCTTTGGATCCCATGGGTGTCGTAAAAGACGATAACAGTCAACGACAGAAAACTTTTATGGCTTCCGATAGATGGCATAAAGCCAATGCCCATCTTGTTTACACCTATTTAGTTTACATAAGAATTAAAATACTCGGACCGGCGAGGAGCAGCAGAACAACAGAACATGATATGCTTAAGAAGAGAAACGAAACTGTTTGGTATTAGAAATTAGACATTTCCATCTTAGTCCTCGGAGGTGACTACGCGTCTACATTTTGATTTTTAATCGATAACTGATGTAGATATCTATGGGCGACAGCATCCACTTACAAGTTAATGGACTGTATGCTTATTTGTCACCCTTACTCTATAAAAATATATAAAAACCTACTCCACTATTAACAAAATTAAATTTTTGCAGTAATATTTTACGATTTTATTTCGTAGTGCTGAGCTCTCGCAACGCGGCGTACGTCCACCTAGCAACACGATGCGCCCCGCACTGAATTCGTGGACGAGTGCGGGGGGTGATATAGACGCAGTATTTAATCGGGACCCATTTTTAATTTATTATCATAAAAATAATACATATTTCTAAAAAGTAACCAAACCAAATTATTTTATTTTGTATTGCAAAGCAGTAGATATTTTTTTTATATTCCTTTGGTAAACAATGAAGGAGTAAAGTGGTTTCATCTCAACGATTTGGAGGTGATTTGGGTATTTTTTTATTTATTATGTGACACCGATAGAAAAATTATGGCTAAACCAAATTATGTATCAGATCATGTAGATTACTAGCTATTTTTTCATATGTAATTTCTCTGTAAGTGTCGACGAAAAGTTGGTTCATCTGCACGCTTTTTTCAAGCTTTTTGCGAGAGAGCAGCCTTAATAATAAATGCACTTTGTTCATTCATATTCAAAATTTCAAAACACTTTATACATAAACACCGTGTCGAAGACTGAGGAAAAGAAACGACGTTAGACCATCGTTAGACAATGCACGGCCTTCAAGCCACACCTCCGTGCCCGTCGGAGAGCGTGAGGTTTTTTTCGTTACGAAATTCACTCAAGGCCCGCGATAGAAGCTATGCAATAGCTTAAAAATAACACCAATCTGTTTCTATTCACATTGGTAGAGCCACGCTGCAGCTATATTATAGTTGTAGCACGAATGGGTCGGCTCGACCGGAGCAGGACCACGCTCTCACAGAATACCAGCGTACCTTAAATAGCAGCATGCTGCTGTGTTTCGTATGGTGAGTGTAGAGAACCGGAGACCCTTTTTACTGGATTCGAGGCATTCCATCTTAGTCTTCAGGGGTGAAAACGAATTTGCATTTTGATTCTTAACTGAGGATAAATATGGATGTCTATGGGCCACAGCATCCACTTACCATCAGGGGTACTGTATGCTCGTTTGTCACCCAATATTATAAAAAAGAAAATTATCTATTCCAATTCATTTTCATTAAAGTTTTCATTTATTTAAGAATACCGTTGTAGTCCAAGGAAAAGTATCATCATCATCATCATCATACAGCCCTTCACAAGTCCACTGCTGAACATAGGCCTCCCCCAAGTAATGCCACAAAGCACGGTCCTGAGCCACCTGTATCCATCGACTTCCTGCATATCTTACCAGGTCGTCACTCCATCTAGTGGGGGTCGCCCTACACTACGCCTACCGGTACGAGGCTGCCACTCGAGAACCTTTCTTCCCCATCGGTTATCGGTTCTTCGAGCTATATGGCCGGCCCATTGCCACTTCAGCTTACTAATCCTTTGGGCTATGTCGGTCAATCTGGTTTTACTGCGGATATCCTCATTTCTGAGTCTATCACGCAGAGAAACTCCGAGCATAGCCCTCTCCATAGCTCGCTGAGCGACCTTGAGCGTCCTCATACGGCCAGCAGTGAAGGACCACGTCTCTGATCCGTAAGTCAACACTGGCAACACGCACTGGTTGTACACTTTAGTTTTCAGAGATTGAGATATACCTGACGAGAAGATATGTCGTAATTTCCCGAACGCTGCCCAGCCGAGTTGAATCCGTCGATTGACCTCTCGGTCGAAGTTGGACTTACCTAGTCGGACTATTTGTCCCGGGTAAACGTACTCGTCAACAACTTCGAGCATAGTGCTCCCAACAACTACCGGCATAGGTGTGACATGGACATTAAACATAATCTTTGTTTTGTCCATGTTCATCTTAAGACCTATCCGTTGGGAGGCACTATTGAGGTCATTGAGCATAGTGCTTAAGTCCTCCAGCGATTCTGCCATAAGGACTATATCGTCGGCAAATCGAAGGTGAGTGATGTACTCGCCATTGATGTTAATACCGTATCCTTTCCAGTCCAGTAGCTTGAAAACGTCTTCCAAAGCAGCGGTGAAGAGTTTCGGGGATATAACGTCACCCTGTCTTACACCTCTCTGCAGTTGGATAGGTTTCGAGCTCTGGTTCTGTACTCGGATAGCCATCGTAGCCCTACTGTACAAACACTTCAGCACTTCAATATACCGACAGTCAACTTGGCACCGCTGAAGGGACTGCAGCACCGCCCAAATTTCGACGGAATCAAAGGCTTTCTCATAGTCCACATACGCCAGGCAAAGTGGCAAATTGTACTCTTCAGTCTTCTGTACAATCTGCCGCAGGGTATGTATGTGGTCTATGGTACTGAAGCCTTTTCGGAAACCGGCTTGTTCGGGAGGCTGGAAGTCGTCGAGTCTGCGTGCGAGACGATTCGTAATGACTCTCGAAAACAGCACGTAGACGCGGCTCAGAAGGGAAATCGGTCTGTAGTTCTTCAAGAGAGCGTTGTCGCCTTTCTTAAAGAACAAGACCACCGCACTTCTGCTCCACGCCTCTGGAGTAGTGCCACCATGGAGGACGGAATTGAAGAGCTTCTGAAGGACTTCAAGTACCGGTGTTCCACCCGCTTTCAGAAGCTCCGCTGTAATTCCATCCTCGCCTGGGGCCCTGCCGTTTTTAAGGTGCTGGAGAGCCATTCTAA